TCACCGTGCAGGTGAGTGAGTTAGGTGCTAACGATGTCACCGTGCAGGTGAGTGAGTTAGGTGCTAACGATGTCACCGTGCAGGTGAGTGAGTTAGGTGCTAACAATGCAGGCTGTTTGGCCTATGTTCCACATGATACTTAGTTACGTTAGCTAGCTCTATACTCAGTGAAAGACGCTTGCGCGTGGATAAAATGACCAACTTTCGCCAGAATTGATGCGTTTTTTGTCGCGACGAGATTGCATGGCAGAGATTACGCGATAGAGATTGTATGTGTGCGTGCATGCGTGTGTATGTGTGCGTGCGTGTGTGGAGAAGCGGGGGGATGACAAGGTGTCAGCTTCGCTTTGCTAGGCGTGTAGATTGCGAACATAATTGCCTGTCGGATGCGAGCTGACAAACACAACATATGGGCGGGGCAAAATATTCCGCATCGCGTGCCAGAATGATTCGATTTAGGCGCAAATCTAGCCGCTCACTCTCGCCGTCACCGCGCATTAGTTGGTGTCGCTGACAACATTAGTCACTTTTTCCATTATAGTAGACATAGAGCATATATACAGTCCTGTCCCAATAAGCGAGGGCGTAGAGGGAGGTAGCCGTGGACGTGGTGACAGTTTAATCTATTTTGACGGCTCCTGCTTCTAGAGTGAGTGATTAAATGAGTATTAATCTCATGAGGAAAATAATACGTGCTACATAATACATGACGCATTATTTTACTCTTGTAAATACATGTGTATATTGTGTACACAAAAACGTACGCGTAGAGAGTAAATGTTCGTACGTGTGTGCATGCGACCGTGTTGTGGTGGTGGATATCAGGGGTTGAAATTCGGGAAAAATGGTTACTACTTTTCGCCTGGAGCATTGCCGGCTAAAATCTCCTTATCCGTAGAAGGTTTTCGAAGGGATTTATTAGTAAGGTGAATAACAGCCTTTTAAGTGGTTTAAGAGCGAGAGACCGGCAGAGGGAGAGCAGAGTGCGACAGAGGACGTGGGGCACGAGTACACAGTCACACGCGTAAACGGTAGTATTCACAGGCACTTGGATCCTCTCAATAAAAAAAACAATGGTAAATAAGCACGAAATGTATTTACTACCAAAGTCTTAATGTTTCTCTACTCTCTTTCGCCTATTAGTGCCGATAACTTGCTGTAAATGCCGTTCAAATGCTCCTCTGCAACACACAAGTACACCGCACGCACGCCACTGTGTACAAACAACAAGAATAAGATAATTGAACGCCATTTACAGCAAGTTATCGGCAATTATAGGCGAAAGAGAGTAGAGAAACATTAAGACTTTGGTAGTAAATACATTTCGTGCTTATTTACCATTGTTTTTTAGCTCATCTGACGTAGTCAGATGCAGCTTGTAGAATCGCATGATCGTCCGTCCGTCCGGCCGTCCGTGCGTCCGTCCGTCCGTCCGTCCGTCCGTCAACAGTTGGGCACAAATCTTAACCGCTCGACGTACGGTCACGATATTCGGGACGTGGGGGGGAGGAGGTGGGTGGGGGGTAATCCGAAAACGAGTTGGGATGTCGAAGCTGGGGGTCAAAGGTCAAAGCGAGTCAAGAGTGTGATAAAAAGAAGGGGAACATTCACTCCTTAACTAAGGCTTATAGTGGAGGCAAATGCCACAGATAATTGCCGGCACAAATCTAAACCGGCGTCGACTAGGCTCGTGATAGACTCGGTGAATATAGGCATGGTCAGGAAAGCCATCACCTGTGCCGCCGAAATTTGTGAGGTCCACAGGTCAAAGGTCAATGGGACACAGGCGCATGATTTAGACATTTTCTGTAGGACACTGGTCTTGACGGAGCGTTGATAAAAACTTTTTTGTTTCAGCGGTGACCTAGCATTTTATGGCCTTTATGAAAAGGACCATTGAAATGTCCTATCTGCTGACCATGCGAAAGAGTAAGTGTCGGATCTAACCTTTTGAACCCTCATAGAGATAGGGTATAAACATGATTTGTTTTACTGTTTGTTAGAAAAGAAATTTGACTGCGGTATCGTTGCTATGCCTAGAATCGATACATGCCTGGATTGTTCATGATGGGCTACAAATCCTGTCACCAGTGAAATTTTCAAAAAGCTAAATTTGGTTGAAGAAGGTTTATGCCTCCTTAAAATCGTAATTATTTCTATGGCATATCTGTACTGTCAGATATGTGTACTATGTAAACGTCGTATGCCACTGCAGTGGCCACTGCCAGTTTGCATGCTGGCGGTGTTGTACTGTGTAGTTTTTGCCTGCGTTAATTGGTTAGCAGGTGGCAGCTCTCTATTGCAGCCTGTAGGCTTGGTTAGGTAAATGGAATGAAGTGCTTACTATCTGTCTTTGCAATATTGTGGTTGCACCTACGTACGATGCGGTAACTTCATCTTTAATCTGAAGACACTTAAACGTCATGCCGCCATCTCGTCGGGCAACTTTCATAACGATCCCAACGAACATATCCTTGATGAAGGTTCCTGATACCATCCTGTACTCCCCTATGCTTCACTGTTTCGGCGTGTATGATGAACACAGTTGGGGACTAACAGGGTTACTAGAAATCCCTCACCACCTCACCACAGAGTCACCGCAGTAGCGTTAGATGAGCAGCTTGTCGCTCTCGCCGGCCGCTGCATCCGCGGGCCCCGCCCGGTTGCTCGCCCGCGGGCTGGCCACGTCGGCCGGTTCCTTTCGGCGTCCGGGTATTCGGTAGCGCAGAGGCGCCGCGTTCCAAGTCTCCGGGCAGGCGTGACGGGGATCGTTCGGCTTGTACGCACCTCCCTAGCCTGGGCGGCGCCCCGTGGCCTCCGCCCCGCGTGCGGCGGGGTCTTCTGCAATCTGACTCGTGCGATGACAGATGACGCATGAGGCCGTCGGTGGCGTCGTGATGCAGTGTTCGGGCGGACCTGCGTCGTGCGCTGCAGTGTGTCTAGAAACTTTAATTATATGCATAGCCTACAGTATGTATAGGGTAACAACCGGGACAGGGTGTTTGTATGGTGTGAAACCACATAAAGACTTAGTAGGTTAGTGCAGTAACTTGTAGTCGGAGGGCGGGCGGGGGGTGGGGGTCATCTGTTGT